GGTCGCGCGCTCTCCTTCTCCGCGCGCCCCCTGCCTTCAGGCCATTGGCTTGCGGGAAGGCAGAGCTTGTCTGATTGGCTCGCGTCCGGACAGTGATGGATGGCGCCCGCTGACCCGGGGTGGCGGGGGTCCTTGCAGAGCCACGCGCAGAGCGTTGGCTTGGGCGGGGCCAGCTGGGCCTGGGACTGGAGCACGGAATGAGCAGGAGACCTCCTGAGGCTCAAACTTTCTGTGCCCTCAATGCTACTATCTGAGAAAAAACGTTGCCCTCCATCCCAGGAGATGCCCTTTAACTCTGGAACCCAAGGCAGGCTAGTTGAATAATTTACCCAAAGCAGGTTAGGCACACGCCTCAGCCTCCTTTCCTTCCAACCTGAGTCTGTTCATTCAACAATATTGATTGATTGATTGATTCATTCACTTAGTTAAGTGGGGCCAGCCGGTGCATGGTGGTTAAGGTGGCTGAATCTCACAAAAATGATTGCATGATTCCAATCCTGGACTTGAGAAACATGGTGTGTGTGTGTGTGTGTGTGTGCGCGCGCGTATGTGTGTGTGTAAGAGTGCATGGGCCCAAAATCCAAGAGAAGGGAGAAATGGAGAAGAGGTTGCCATGTGACCATTCCCCATGAGGCAGGGGCACTCACTCTCTCTCTCTCTCCTCTCTCCTGCGAGCCCATGGGCCCTATAGCAATTTTTAAAACCACCTTTTTAAAAAATAATTATTTATTTAACTTTATTTGTTCTTAATTATTATTTGTTTAATTTGACCAGAAGAAAGAAAGGGAAAGGGAGAAAGCAAGTTGCCAGGCTCAGGACTCGAACTGTGGTCAGCCATGTAGGAGTCCAGAGACTCAACCACTGTGTCACCTGCTGGCCCCAGCAATCTTTTTAAATGAGAGTAAGACATTTGTAGACTTTATACTGTATGTACAGATGAATGGCGTCCCTCAAAATAAACTCATCGGTAAGAGAAACAGTATTGGTTTTTAAAAAGCAACAGTTGATTTAAAAAAGAAATAGTAAAACAAACATTTGGATTTTTTTTTTTTTCTGTAGGACACATACACTTGCTGGAGAGAGACAGAGAGAGAGAGAGGAAACGTGAGAAAGCACCCTGGTGGGGGGATGACCAGGCTGCAATTCCTTCTCTAGTTTCCTCTGGAGATTTTGGGCCCAGTTCCCTCCGCCTGGGCTGTCCATCCTGTGAGATCCAGCTGCATTTTTTTCTTAGAGAGGTTTTTGTTATAGGGCGCGAGCGCTCGCCAGAGAGACAGAGACAGAGAGACAGAAAGTGAGAAATCACCCCCCACCCAGGGGAATGGCCACACTGCAATCTCTCCTCTCATTCACCTCTTGGGATTTGGGGCATGCACAAACACATGCCCAGCATGAGTTTAAGCCACTGGGTCCGGGACTTGAGCCACAGTTGACTACATGGGAGTCCAGCAACATAGCCATTACGCCAACTGCTGGTCCGGGGATCTAGCCACTTTAACCACTGCCATGTGACTGGCCCTGCAACAGATTCTTTGAAAAGACATTTACAAACTGGCTGCTCTGAGCCAAGCACCTTGCAGGGTGTTGTGGGAGCTTTTGAAATGAAATAGAAGACACAGGCCCTGACTCAAGGAAATTCCAGTTTGGTTGGAAACGAAGTCCTGAGTGCAGATAAAGAAGTTATAAACATAACAGATGGGGTGTGTGGAGAC